CCAGGAAACACATTGTTCCGGGAATTAGAGCCAGACATCGAAAGAATGAATAGCAGTCTGGAACGACTATGAAGAATGGCTCTGGATGGAGTTTGTTAGAGACTCCCAGTTGGTGGCCTACGCTGCATGAGTGGTAACAGACTTCAGTAAATAATTACCAAAACTGAATGAGAAGGCTTACAACATAATTACTTATAAATGATCAGATAGTCCCAGATAACAATATAAAGTTGATCACCTTGTCTAGGTGAATTATTTGCATATTCAGAATATTCCATTCACTTTTAGATCTGAATTATTATGAGGCTTTCCAATCATCATGTGATCTGCCTTGTTTTGAAGGGCATGTAAATAAATACGGTATAATTCTCCTTCAGGACCGCCCATTACGACGACAACTGAATTGGGATATAAAATAGACAGAATCTGGTCAGTCACGATGTTGATGAGGAAAGGGTACAACCAGTTGATTAGTATGACACTAGCTCCACTGAAGATATAAAACGAACATATTTTCTTAACATACATCGTTATTTTTGATAAGTACTTTAAGATTCAAATAATTCTCAGTCGACGATATCTCACCCTTAATTCCAACCGATATACTGGGTCTATTCGGAATTACTAAACAAATAGAATGTTCGCGACGACTTAGCTTTCCTGAAGAATATTCAAATGTCTATGAAGTGATTTACAGAGATTTGGCTTCAATGTTAACAACAGACTAGTAGTAGTAAATGATTAAGTTACTCAACCCCTAAAATCCATTATTTTTCTTCTATTATATAGAGTATGTAGCGTGTGAAAATTAACATGTGAGAATTTGAATCGACACTGAAATCATCAATTAGAACGATCAGACTACCTGTTAGTTCTATCTTATGAACGACAGTGCAAATCAGTACGCACGACGAAATTTTTGTTAGACAGTTAATAACTAACTTAAAAGTTATCTCGTATGTCAATCAGAATTTTTGAATAACATAAGGAAGTAGCACGTGAAAACTTCCAGATATCTAACCAAAAGGTGAACTACATGAAAATGAATCCCATGTTGACAATAAGAAAAGTGTGACAACTGTTAACCCTTTATATTATGTAAATTTCTTACTTAACAGAAAACAAACAATCTCAATAAGTTAAATTTAATTGTTTTAATATAACTTAACAATGCTTCGGAAAAATAGGCGGTGGGACACTTTATAGCCCCTCAATTTACTACCATAATCTGTAAAATCACTGCAAGTTATCGAAACCCCGTTAAATTTCGCCTTACGCATCAGGAAATAAAAGTGACAATAATCCACACATTTCAATCATAAAAACGTAACTACTGATAACTATGCAGTCTGTTTTAACACTCGACACTATTGCTTTAAATGTCAGCTACAAAGAAACCACGGTTCAGTTTGATTTTGGAATCACAACAGTCAGATGAGTCTAAGGAAATGCCCTTCGAAAACACGAGTAGTCGGTCAGTCACAAGCTACGTAGAACCTGATACATATATGCATTGGCTGAAGTCACCACTAGCATAGTGAGATACGTGATCAAGATAAATCCAAGAAAAGCAGAATTGGTAAAAGCACTGATTGTTGTACAAAACATTAGGCACGGAGAAAGAAAACTAGAAGTATCGGCACATTTTGGGACTCCGGATTTAAATAAAGACAAAGACAGAATGCACCTCATCCATCTCATTAACCATTGGTCATGATTATTAACCAGATACCAACTGGGTAATCTGCACCTTCGTACACAATTTAGAAAAAGTCAGAAACTTAGTGAACTGATGACACGTCGTGGTTTGCCTTCCCCTACCTTTCTTCTAGTCTCCTACACCACAAAACGTCGAGCGTCGGTGTGGGCGGTGGCTAGGCAAATGCAACATATGTCCCAACCAGCTTGCTATTATTACTTAGTGCTCTGCATCTAACCTCAGCATTACTCATTCAATGGTCCCAATATAAACAGGCAGTGTTTCGAGGACACCTATGGTCAAATACTTGTTATCTACGACTATTCTTTGGTTTCAAAGGTCATGTCTCACAGTCATAAGGTAGGACCAAGTGAACTGATGTCAGTATACTCGTTTTTTGGTTTGCAAACGGATATCTCGCCTACGCCACAAATGATCCAAGCTGGCAAAGGTTAATCGGGTTTCTTGAATTCGTGCCATGATCTCGCCAAACTTCAACCCACTAGAGCTGGTGAGACCTTCAAAATAGGTGAAATGGTCGGTCCGCTCAGCTACTTTACTTCATATAACTAATTCAGGGGCCGAAGCAGACCAGTTCTGAAGCAATATTTTTCATTTATATGCAGAAAAATATACGCACCTTAATATGTAAGAGTTGACATAGAAATTAAAAGCACAAAACCAATTTGGTTGCCACTTGATAAATCCTAGCCATCAGCACAGGCTTTGAACATAAAAACGGACATTTTGCAAGTGATAATACGAGAGAAAATGATCGGAATCAAGATGGCCGATTTCTATTAGGAGCGATTGGTTTATTGCTAATCGTATCCAAGCTGTTGTAATTGTTTAGTTCCTAATGATAATTTGAAAGTGATCTTGAAATCTATAGAATATAAGTTATCAGCCAATCACAAACTAGCTTGTAGACATTTTTTAAGAAACCTGAAAAATATACTAATGAGGAGAAGTACGAATGTGCAGTATTAGAATGTCATATCTTTACACGCAAAAAAGTTGAATTGTCCAAGAAATGTCCTCAGGCTGTGGAAAAACTTTGACATAACAGTATAAAAGAACTCGTTCTGACTTTAATCACTAATGTAGCAGCTAATTTCGCTGTTTCCCTCACGACTTTCATCATCTAACCACGAAACAACAAATTTACTAACAAACGTAGGATCCAGACAATGGGATGTATAACACTGAATGAGAAAACCAGAAAAAACTACTGCGTATCACCTGACACTATTTCATAGAATCTTTGAAGTGGCAACATCTAATTATTTTCAATACAGTGAAAAGACGCCCAAGAACACGTTACCTGTCCAATAAATACGTAAAGTGGGCTCCTGTTTTTAGTTGTGGATATAGATAGGAGGGCTGGTAATTAAATTATACTTAGACGCCTACTATATTAAATCAATCCGAACTTGGTAGGGTGTCTATGTTTAGCTACTACGCACTAACGTTGAAACTACTATTATTTAGACTCTTGATGTTAGTTTCATCTTGCTGTGTCGAGGCGGTATGGCAACCGATGGAAACGCACAGTTGTGCCATGCCCCGTATTGATTTTGGTTGACTAAATCGGTACATGACTGTTAACCCGCAACAATCCACTACTGTCTACTATAAATATTTTACAATTCTTTGGCGGTAATTATCCCCTATTCTTGTAATTATATTGTGGAGGCAAGATCTTAAAGATCGAAGGATATGGAGAAGATGAAACAGGAAGTGACGAGGCAGCTGACGGGTAAACTACAATTGTGTGACCAACAAATGCATTAAAGCTCTGTTTGTGGTTATATCTACTTGATTGCCAGATACCTGATGATCTTGAAAATAACAACAAACATATATTATAAACACAACTTATTAGAAGTGCTCCAAACTAAGGGTTTGAAAGAACGTGATAACCAAAAGTTTATAAGAAACTGATTATAATAACTAACAAGATATCTGTAAATGAAATTAGTAATGTAATCATGCCTAGAGTACCCACAAAGTTATTTGACGGGTAAGCCACTGTATGTGGGAGAATATATTTTGATAAATCAACCTCATCAAAAGTGTGTGAGTGAATAACGTAATTCGTACGCCTAAATCATCGTTGATCTACACTACTCAATATGGAATGTATGGGGATTTTCTCTCAAATCTTTTCATTCTTGCATAATCAGGTTAACAAGCCAAGGAGGTTGTAGCAGCCACCAAAAGCCAATAAAATACTGAGAATTAGATTAGACAATGTACTATAACCTACTTACGAAACAACACAACACGTGAGAACACAATCAGATGTTTACCTCTCAATTTCTTTGAAGATGAGATATTCAGACAACCACGCTGAAGTAAGTGGTTGCGACAAGTAACAGTAAACTGAATTTCGTGAACCTATGGTTCAGGGATCGTGTATAGTTAACTGAATATAGTTTCAACACACTGTTACCATTATCTGGAGTGTAACGCCGTATGATCCACTCAAGTATTTTTCAATTTGAAGTAGACTACCGACTTTGACGTTGAAATTGTCTACTAAATCCGAGCCCGTCTTTTTGAAGTCTAAGAAGTTCCTTGTAATACTTTTTTTATTTCAACCCATCTGCGGTTGAGGAAGAGACAGAAGTGCATTCTGATCTTTTCGACTTCTTGCTGTGCCTATGAGATCAATAGAATATAAGAGATTATCAACAGAAATCTTGTTAAGTGCTTGTCTTGACTTCAAATTTAGTGCCATAACTACACCGGTGTAGTCCTGAGTAATTGATGTTGCGTCGCCAGATGAACGAATGTTATGATTTGTTTCTCTCTCCATATTGGTTAGGTGAAGTCAAGCGGATGACCATAATAGGATTCTGTACGAGTGTTTCGGAGAGAGTATACATCAATAGCATAAGATCCTATAGTCTTAGCTAGTGAAAACTTACCGCTCTCCAACCGAACTGGCTGGAGTGGTTGGAGCTTAAAAAAAGGAATGTTCTAGCCAATATGGATAGACTTGGCTATCACGATATGCAAGACCAACTTGAATATCAAGATGGAATTTCATACAATGATCTCATTCAAAGTATTAGAACTATATATTGAGTTTAGTTTACCAATAGTATTTACGTTATCTTTAATATTTTGTTCATATTTTCATTAATTTTTGTTCGATCAGTCGATCTGAAGTGTGACTTTGGTTGATGCAATTCTATATGCCTTGTTGAAGATTATAAATTTGTAACTTGTCTTAATATTCTTAATTTAAAAAATTCAGGTGATAAACGCCAGTACAATTCAGAAGAAACATATTCCAAAGCGAACATTTATTATCAAAACATCATTTGTATGGTTCAGAAGATCCATATTTGTAAATAAACTTGATAAACATCATCGAGAAGAAATTGCTACTTGTTCGGAAGGGATATTGTTATAATAGTAATAGGATGAGGAACAAGTATTTCAGGTACAAAGATTTTGAAGAGTGTGCACTCGTTATTTCCTGCATAGATGTCAAAAGAATCAAAAGGAATGCATAAATACGCTGGCCTGAGTAATTGCACGAATATATTTCAACATTCTACTTTTGGGTCTAGTTAATTCTCTGGAATATCTTGAACATTTTTTATTCAGGATAGAAAAAAGTGAGTGACTAAAAAACGCCGCAAATAGAGGGGAGTTCTATCCAGAAGTCAAAGAGCCAACAATCATGACTAAGAAAAAACGTCAATAAAAAATTGTACGAAATAACATACATTTTGTTTACAATCACTTGCACGTAACTACGTGTCGTAAGTCACAGATTCAATCATAATTTAGCAAGAATACGTTCATTCAAAGTAGTGGTCACTAAGATACATATTCGTACACAAAATCCAACTACAGAAATTTTTAAATTCACTAAATAGTCAATAAAAACACTACTAGGGGTTATTTAAAAATAGGCCAGATTTGTTCTACGAAGTCAATTAGCAAATTTAATGGTAATATCATAATAACACTAACAAGAACAGTGATGTAGTTGATCATGAAAAGTATTGTACAACGTTAAACGTTGGATTATTAATTATACAAAATATTAAATGAAATCCAATCTTTAGTCATGATATCAAAACAATAGATGATATATGTATATATCAAGGGAAATTTTAGACAAAATATATTTATTTCAGAATCCGAACTGCAGATTTTCACAGTTGGTTTTATACTGTAAGGCACTATTGTAAATATGGCGAAATTCAATCCCTAATGACAATAGCAATAATAATAATATTAATAATAATATCAACTAGGAAGATGATTCTGAATTACGGTTCTTGTGAAACTAAGCATACACACATCGACTGAGATATAATTGGACTACTACCATTTACAGGCAGACGATACATAAACAGTGGAAAAGGCAAAAAAACCGAAAGCCCAAAGTAAAAATATGAAACGGTCAATTCTTTATCGTTCTTCCCTTTGTGAAACAAGTTTAGGATGAATTTTCAACAAACAACAAGTGTAGGAATGTAGGAGAGGGTGCATTTTGATCACTGAACGACAGTGAACTAGTGTTATAGGAATAGCTTCACCCGGTATTAGATGATGAAGTGTCTACACTGGAACCGTTCACTACAGATTGCGAATCACTAGTAACAGATGAACCGATACCAACCTGTGACGACAAACTGTTAGTAAAACATGATACAGCTGCAGCGACAGCATTTGCATGCTCTGGACCAAGTTCTGAAATTGGCGTTGCAAGTAGGCTTTTACGTAAAGCTTGAATAGCAGTAGATACTTTTACAGCAGGACCCAGTTTCATACCTAATACATGCATCAGATCGTGTTGTTCAAGGCACAATAAAGCAGCTCCATCTATTTCCTAAAAAAGCAATGAGAATAACATGGTAAGTATGGGCTTTAATATTCTAAGAGTACCAGAATATATGGATACTTAATTATATGAAAAAACGTTCCCCTATAACACAGTGAAATTTTTGTTCGATTATATATCAACTGTATTCTCAGACTATTTGATGACTGTGATGTTGGAATCACGTCAAATCCAGCAGCTTAACAGGACTTCCAGAACATGTAACTAAATGTATTAATGAAGGACACTGTTGATTACCAGTTTTTTTAAGGGAACTAGAAGTAGCTCTGTCGGATGCCTCAACCAATGAAGAACGGTTGATATACTTAAAAGGGTAGTGTACACGGGTCGCTGATGCTAATGTGATTTAATGCTGCAAAATCCTCCCATTCTCGATAGCTTATGCAAAGTGAGATGAGCACTCAAACAGGGGTGAGAGACTGTTAGAGATCTAAAACCTAAAAACAATCAGATGTTATATATAGTGGGACACCTTAATTAAACAACGAACAAATGGAAAGATGACATGGGTAGTCGAGTCTGTAACTGCAAATCAAGTTGATGCTGTAAGAAATAGGTAGTAGCAGATCTAAAGATGTAAGTGTGGATTTTACTGGTGAAATGTCTCGTAAAACTAAAAAATATATCTATTTTGCTATAACATAACACTAGTGTTTTAACATTGGTTTTATTCAATTGTACATCTACTGCTTGTAATAAAATTGGCAGGAGTAACAATTATTATTTATTGTATACCTTTGGTGAAGCTAGAGTTTACTCAGTATTCTGACTTTATAACTGGTTCCATTACACCAACCGTCTGTTTAATTGGATTGATGTCACACCTTGATCTGACTATTCCCAGTTTCTTCAACCTACTTCTTTGTAAGCCAATGATTAAATGTCGGGTTAAGCAGAGGTAAGGCATTCATATTGAATGTCATAGCCAAACCCGTCGATGAAGGAACGTAGTCTCATAAATAGAATGAGCCTTTCCATCTAGTATCAGTAAAGCGACCAACGCGTTTCACTTCTCCACTCCCTACCGTTAAACTAGACACAGACCAACGTTGGATAAATATTTAGCACATGAAGGGTGAGAAACGGATTCAAAACATGCTTTCGTTGTTACTTAAAGTGAATAGAAGACTCTGTATTTGTCAGTCTTTACGAAACAAGAGGATTCCATTTGTGTATTCCAGATCGACAAATGAATTTTCTGACAGGAAGTTAGTCCCTAAAAAGTCAGATAAAGAAAGCACTACAGGGAAATATCTACAAAAAAACCAAACAGAAATGAGATAGGTTGTCTTGATGAATACCACTTGACAGAGTCAGTTCAAAAAATAGCCACAATTTTCAATTTGATTAACAGTGTCCGAGCAAAGAGGCTGTAGAAGGTTTATGTGCCCCATAATAGTACGTCTTAAAATAACAGACTACCGTAAGATCTCTAGACTAATGGAATAAAGTTATGGGGAATTATAGATAAGTATCTCTATGTTGTTTGATGAGTCTATGTAACTGTTAAGTGTTATCTATCGCTGCTGCCTTCTTCATTTCCAGTCACTTAGATTGACGATCAAGCTAAAGAGCAAAACAATTCTTACAGTGGGAGACTCAATATATTTTTCATCTAAAAATCCCGTACAGTAATTGGAAAGAAAAGAGGCTTTATCTATAAATATTTTGAAACTACAAACTTTCATTATCATAAGTATTTGTACTCTTTAGTAGTTGATTAGCAAGACTGAATTAATTAAGAAACTTGGAAATTATTAAATGGATGCTTGAACATTGATTACGTTGGCATCAGGATCAAACACTTAGCAATATAATCCAGATAGCATATTTCCCACAAGTTACAACTTTTCACTGAACACTTCAGCAAAGGAAAGTGTTTTGATTGAGATTTGAACACAACGAGTACATCCAGTCGACAAGACCTGGATTTTACTACTAGTTACTAACAAATATGTAATCACTCTCTCTGTTATTAGTACATAGAGTTGTTTTCCGACAGTAACAAACAGAAAAACTATCACACAGATATACGTAACTGAAATATTTAGACTTAAAAAAAATATTGTGGTACATAGCGTATTTAAGACTACTGAATAAAAATGTTAAGACTGATGTCGTAAACTATGTCAATGCATGATAAGAAATGAGTATACATTTTACAGCAAACATTAAACTCGACTGATGACCAACACTTATTGCGGATTGGAAAATGTGAGTGACGGATGATGACAATGAAAGTGAAGATGGGAAGACAATGAGGACTAGATGTAGAAGTTAACGTACCACCAGTCCTGAATTCAATCCGTTCCACAAATTATCTATGGTAAATCTGCTTGATTACACGAATAAAGGTAGAGCATTGTGACCACAGTGAAATGATTATCATATTTATAAAGCGAAATCAGTAGACTTTTGTTAGAGAAATGAAAAGTTAGAAAACTAACCACGTTAATAGAAATGTGATTTTCTAATCAAAAGGTAAAAGAACAAAGCACACTGAAGTAAAATAAGAACTCGTTTTTGCACACATCATACTTGAAAAAATAAATTTTAAAGAAGGAACAACTAAAAACCAAGAAAATCTTTGCGTATTAGCTTCTGAGAAAGATATCTATTACATCTAAATTAGCATGGTATTGTAAGCCAATTTAAGCGGAATCTAGTAAACAAACAGTATGAACCACATCCTCATGATTATTTTTTAATCACCTCCCATCACATTTCGGCAGAGAACGAACTGAGAGATCACTTCATTTCATCACTCTAGTAAAAAGAGCGAATGTAATTGTCAAAGATTGGAAAGTTTATGTAAAAAAAGTCTGGTGTGAGGCTAGTTTCTAAAAACGGGAAACACCCAACTTATCAATAAAAGGAATATGAAATGCCTATTTTAATATAATTAATTCAAAAATTACTTTTTGCTTCGAAATTGCTGCGATATATCTCCTCTATGGAAACAAACTACCATTCAAACCCACAACATACTACTACGCTTATGAAAAAATCGATAATCGGTTAAATCAAAAAATAGTTGACAAAGGGCAATATATAATTGTCTATCACTAAAATTAGTGACTTAATTTCAAAAAGTCACTAACGATTCGAGTCACTCACTGATGTTAGAAATATACTTATTGTTGGCTTTTAACTCATTACACACTAGAGATCTAGAAAGCATCAACCAGTTCTCAGGTACACGCTGGAGAAGTATGTACGATAAGTCTGTTTAGTCTCAAACAAAAGAGAAATTAAGAGAATTAACTTATGTGGGACTCGGCTTCTAATCAATAGGTCATTGATTCCAAACCCATACTATCTACTTCAAGTTTCGGCAGCCGAGTATATGAACGTGGAGAATGAATTACACTACTATTATTTCTACTTTTATGAGACCAATGTAACTCAGTAATCAATTACATCTTTGTGGATTAGGTTTTAAACCATGGCTAATTGATGGAAAAACCACATAGCGACTTGAACTAAATTAGACAGAAATTAGAACTTGCGACAGAATCAGTATGGCCAAAGGTCTAAAGCACTGGAAAAAAGCTTCATCATTTTACAAGAACATTGTTAAGGAATAGTAAGTTAACTGCAAAACAAAGAATTCATGAAGAACAATACTATTTGAAGCAATAATAAATTGATTATGACAAAACAAACACACCTAGTTTGGATTTTATTTCAAATGGTGAAGATTGTTCCCACTATCTCTTTTTTATTTTTATCCCCAAGGCAATGTTGGCAATCTTCACCTTTTAGTTTAATTTTTCCCACTAATCTGCTGCGAATCAAAGCAGTAACACAGCTTTTAAATTTTCCAGTTTAGACGGTCAACAGCAACAAAAAGAAAGATAACTCAAATTTCTCATTTGTATGACTTATAACTACTAAGTCTACGTCGCTTCTCAACATCTGCTGAATAAGGCTTTGCATTTTATAGAAGAAAAAAGATGATGAATTGATTGACCTGAGTAAAAATAAGAGTCTTTCTAATAGCATTGTAAGTACCAAAATCTAAAATGAACCACAGTATTTTTTGCAAACTTGTTGTCTACGGAGACGACGCATATCAAATAATTCAAAAAAATATTGACGATTTTCTATTCATAACTGCGGTACAATAAATATTCCGAAATGATCGTTCAAAGAAACAAATTTGATAAATCTAAACAACGAGCTGAGTAGAATCTTGGTAGTGATATTGATTACATGAAATAAAATGAAAGATGAGTCAATAACCAGAAATCAAGTAAAAAAAGTATTTGACTTACATTTTCAATGAATTTACAAGCGAATTGCTTGCATCCTGGCAGTGTAGAAATAAAATTAGCTACAACATTTGGATTCCACGAATGAGGTCCAGGAAGGCCAGCAACTTTGGCTGCACGGATAGCCGCCCCTGCCTGTGGTAATAAACGACCCATTAAATCAAAGTCCCTCAACGAGGGATTATTCAAGCTACTGACGGTAGCATTTATATAACTTGAAGAGGATAGATCAAAAGATGGTAATAGACATGATGACCTTGCTGTATCAATATAGAATGGAGAAGATAAGACAGGATTAGGACATATAGGAGGCATGAATGACCCGTTAGTCACATCAGGATACCATCCAGTATTTGATGTCTCGATCAAAGATTGAGGAGGAAGACTGTTACTAGCGTTGATGATCATACCTGAGGTATTCATAACCGTTAGGTGCTGAGTGCGATTAGAACACAGGTCAACAGGAGTGATTTCTTGAGTCAACCTGGCATGTATAGGATAGCCCGTAGTCGGATCATTTATTGCAGCTAAGGTAGAAGTGTGCTGCCCAGGAATTTCATAACCAGAAGATGATCTTAAGCGGTCTACATCCATGTAACCCATGTTAGTATTGATGCAAGCATTAGTTAAAGCACTGTCAGCGGGACTTGGTTCTGAACTGCATGTGACAGACTTAAGTACATCGATGTTTTTGAGGTTATTAGATTCCATATTATGGGGGAGGTAACTATCACTTTGACAATCCGTTGGTGGGTGAGAACTGGTAGTTACATTCATACTGCTACAAAGTGACAATGTAGATGTAATCGACAACGAAGAAATCGGAACTGCAGCAGATGAAAGAGTATGATGTTGAGTTGATACACTAGCTGGATATGAGTGTCGTCCAGTAGACGTAGTATATGATTGTGGTAGAGATGTCAAGGAAGTGAAATGAACAGGACGTGACTGTTGTAAGGATGGATGGAGAACATGTACAGAAGTGTATTTCCTAGGCCGACCTCGTTTACGTTTAATAGGTATAGGGGATATGCCAAGATTCTTTGTATATTCATCAGATTGGTCAGCAGTATGAGACAGAAGGTTGGAAGGAGACACGCTGTCCGGGTTAGGTTCTAATTTGCTTAATTTCTGTGGTCTAACTGAGTCATTAGAATTCATGTTTGATTTTGTGCTTGAAGACGCAACATTAATAGAGGATTCATTTGATAAGACTATTACATTGGCTGCGATTTCAGAAGATAAATTTGAGTTTTCACATTGAGGCACGGCACTAATATTAAGAATTTTGAAAAAGGAAAAGTGAGAGTCATGTTTATTTATGCACAGTACCGGAAAGCAATGTATAAATGTAAACATCCTGAGAACTAACAAAAACATAGTCTGGCAAGAAAATTTATCGACAACACAGTTAGATGAAGCCAAATCAAGTTAAGATGGTGGGCAAATATTTTACTTACTTCTCAACAAGCCTAGTACAATCAAACAGGCTATTAACATTAATGTGAATAGAAATTTAACAGGGATATTTTATTTGACAATTAATTAACTACAAAAAGGAAATTAGCGGAAGAGATATATTATAAAAATGAATACCAACTATGGGGTTAGATACGTATACTGAAACAAAAAAGTGCGACTGCATTATTTCGATATGTTCTGAATATTTAAACTACATCAGAAAACCTTTAATTTAAAATAAATGGTATTGAACATTGGACTCAGACACAGAAACAATTAACAAGTAAAGCAATAGCACAAGAATCATAAATGAATATTAAAGTGATTGTCGTAATTATCGAGAATATGGATTTTCGACTTTTTATTAGTTAACAGTAGAATATACTTTTTGGGAAAGAAATCATGGTGAATGAAGAGTCCATACATGACCAGGTTAAAATATGAAGGAAAATGTACAAATGAAAATGGCCAGTCATTATGTTAAGAATATCATTCTCATTGAAATTCCCCACATTAAACATTGAAGCGAGAAAATGAGGAAAAAGTTTCCACTCACAAACGAGATACGAAAAAAACAACGAAGTCTGGCAAACGATTTACTGTGTTGTCTGATGCATTAAAAAAGAATTCGAAGACAACCACTTAATAGTAAAACTATCAAACAAAAATGAACAAACTATAGAGCAATAAACAACCCTTCTTGGTTCATGGTTATAATACGATAAAAGTTCACGTACATACTGTGTTATTGAAACGACCGTTGATTGAGACACAGGTAACTATCTTACAGTTATCACATAGCAAACATACGTTGAAGTGACCAATATTTATTATTGACTATTCTACTACTGGCTGGAAAACTCATACGATTATGACGCACAACATATACATAATAAATACAGAAATCAAAGTTGGATTATTCAGCTTGCAAAGTGGAAAGTAATTTGAGTGAAATGTGAACCCTAAATACGTTGGAGTCATGTACAAGAATTCTCAGAAATAATCCACGAAAACAAAACCAAAGGTTTCTCACAACACATAAAAAGAGTCCGAATACTGCTGCTGTTAACATTAAAAAGTTACACAACTATTTTAGGCGTGGGAAATTATCCATTGTCTCCTTTGTAGCAGTAAGTAAAAACCGACTAAGTTCATTCATGGTGACTTATACAAAGAGATTAGTTCAACACGAAAAGTTATTCAACAGGCAACAGTTCAAAACATTTACTCGCCTACTGCTAACATATTAGATGAAACAATCAGGAGGATGAGATCAAATAACTCACCATAAAGAACGACCCCGTCTATTTAGTAAACATTCGTCTGGTGACTCTGACCGAAGAATGGCAATCTTATGACTGTCTCACACCCATGACCAGAAAAACAATCCCAGTCCCTTTATGGTACATTCCCTGTTTGTGCAAGATAAAGATAGCAACCAACAACTATATTATGGAGAGTAATTTATGTTTCGGTGATTATCATGCATCAGAAAGGTAGACTAATTTCAGATGTCATTCTCAATAAGATGGCATGCATTTATTTGTATACTTAATTTCATATTCGTTTTTTGACGGCGAAGTAGCACTGACGCTCACACAAAACATATTATGCTGTATTTTTCTGAAACACAGTGGCATCAAAGCATACTTTACTTATCCTCTGTAACCTAGTATCTTATGGAAAAATACTGTTTGTCAACTGGGAAAATTATAATCGCGTTTGGAAACAAAGGGAGTTACACTCTTATATACTCTATACAATATTCATCAAACTAAGTTTACTTCTGTACTATAATAATTATTATTTGTAAGGATTACTGTTATCTGGATGATGTTACGGACTGCAATTGATCCGTTTCATATCAGTATCCTAAGTAGATGGTCTCGATATTGCCGTCCATTTACAAGTTTCAATTGATATTTGATAGTGGTTAGTAAAGGAATCTAGAATGTGTGTTTGGCAATATCTAGCACTCGTCAGTTGGATGTACCGGGATCGTATTCTTGATCCTCACACTGACGCTTGGACTGTTAGATTGAAGAGGAAGACACTAAGTTGAAGGAATATCCAGCTGACAAATCATAAATAGGACGAAACAGATACGTAAATCGTACTGCTATACAGTATCCACATTCAATAATAACTGCTATCTTAAGCCTTTAGGCTATCGATTTCGTGCAGAGTACAAGGACTATTAAATTGCAAAATGTTGAATAGATGAAGTGTTTGAAAAATTCTGTAGTCATAAAGCGAAAGTGTTTCGTTTGAGGATAATTTTGATTAAGAAAGTGTTGAGCTAATGAAAAACTTGCTCTTTCCCTTATATATATATATATATATATATATATACTCTGGAAGAGCATTGCATGAGAAGCGACATAACAGACTAGTAAAAATTGTGTGAGAAAAAGTGAATAAAACCATACTCTAAAATCTATTTGTACGATTGATAGTGACGAAGAATACAGTTATCTTGCCTACATAATATTTGACATTCATAGTATTAGATAAAAATGATCAAAAAGAATACAATGTTCCAATGGATTCAGTCGTTTGTTGCATTGACGTAAATTTTAAAATGAGGAAAGTATACTTTCTAAAAGTACAGAAAATATCCAATAAAAACAACCAAACATGATCCAGTAAAGACATCAATAAGTATGAGCGAAAAGGTTTGAGAAAACCGAACACAAACATTTGGTCCTCAAGTTTTAAATCTCACTAGAGATATAACTGATAAGTATTGTCACATACGTAAGCCATATAGCAAATCAATCTCGGTACTTGAAAGACGATTACGAAGACAAATGTATACGATGTTATTTGAAGACAGACTTTTATCAACATTTTATGCATGTAAAAAATCGTACGATTTGGTAAATACATAACTCGATGAACAATCGTAATTCAATAAGTTTAAGAGAATTATTCATGAGTGTACTCAAAACAAAGAAAATTAACGACGATGATTTACATTATGAATTAGGTAAGTATAATGAAACTCCACTAGATTTACATTGTTCTGAGGAATAAAATAACCGGGATTTACATTATGAGTTTATGTTGAGAAGAGAATACAGAAAAATAGAAAACAATTGTGATGTTTTGTGACTACATTAAAAACACACGAGCTAAATTATCAGGGTCAATAACGATTGACAAAAGATTCTTCAAGAACAGGTTTAAAATAATTTATTTTGAAACGCTATCAATAAAGTGTACTAAATTGGAATAATTCACTTATTTAAAGAAAGGATTTATTATAAGATGTCAGGCAATCACATCGCTGCAGATACATAAGCTAAAATATGTTCAGAATATACACAGAATCTTGGTTTAATGCATCACCTGCTTTATTATGTGTAATTAGTTGACAAAAAATTATTCACACTGAAATGAATGTAAAACATTTCGATTTGGTTGATATTTTAATCTTCATAATCTTTATACGGAAAATAAAGCGGAAAACATTAACGATCTGAGTGTTAGTGCTACCCAGATTTTTCATGAGTAGAAGCTGAACTTGCGAATTATTAAACAAAGTGGAAAGCGCAGGAAAATGATTTCTCTGTTGCCCAATATAAACACAGCACCCAAATATAACTCCAGAGTACTTTTGACGCTATGGATGGAAGTTGATAACAAAGGATCGTTAGAAATGTAGATACAAGATACAAAAGGCAAAATTCTATTGGTCAGTTGGCGATGGATAATCTTTTACTTGACAACTGATCATGAAGGTGACTTCAAATTATTGGGACAATAATAGACTATTAATTACTAGGAACAATGTAATTAAGAAAGTATGTAGTAAGCTTTCTATTACATCAACCACGTCGATGTTTAAATAAACTGACAACTTTTTAGTATAGGATTTCATATGTAAATTAGACCAGTGAAGCAAAACTTCGTAATCTTTGAGTGAGAGATGCAAAATAATAAAAATTCAGATATCTCATCAGTCCCTTTTTAAGTAATGGGTTAAGAGTTCAAAAAAGGATGAGAAGCATGAGATAGAACAGTGTTAAAAGATTACGCGAAAAACGAACAAATCATCAGGAAAAAATAACCTACCCAATAGCGATTGCTGGAGAAAAGGAGTTTGAAATTTCAGTTCTTAAAGGCACTTCTTTAGGTGAGAAACCAGGCAACTTTTCAAGTGTTAAGTTTAAAGGCAACACATTAGATTGAGGGGATTCATTTGGGAGTGAACTCTGGACAGAAACAGCTGGGCTACTGGTTGAATGGAGGTTGCTTATCACAGGTGAAAAACCAGGTGAAGTTGTGACAACGCTATCCGCAATAGAAAATTGCAGTGTAACTGAATTACCTGATACAGAGTCTGGAACTTTGGTATCTAAATATGGACATGCTATGAGAGAATAAGATGTAACAACAGTGGGTGTGCTATTTGAAGAGAATTCACTTTTGACAGTAGAATCCGGAGAAAGACGTTGACCTGAGTTACGATTAGGAGGATTGTAAGCAGAAACCGAGGCCATTGTAGCACTAGAATCGGGGTTTTCTGAATCAACAGAAAAAGGAGAACTGGACGTTAATATATTAGTTGAACTTAGACGTTCGTGTGCTCTAATAGCATCTTTCTTAAGATTACTATCAGCATATGGGCATCCCGAAATGCGCTGATGGGAAAAATAACGAGGTCCTTTGATATGCCCGTAGCCTTTGCAACCGGGAGTTGGGCACCCACCAAATGGGTTGGCAGTCCCACTACAGCTGAGTGAACTGGCAGAAGAATTAGAATAAGAATCCATTAAATTTCCATTTAAATCCAATTCAGAATCATCTATAAAAATAAAATAAATGAATCAGATATTATGATTTTAAATGAGTTATTATTTAGAGACATCTTCTCAAGGTCAACGAAACAGAACAAAGATATCGAATTTACAAAGAAAACATTGAAAAAACTCTTAGAAAGGTTATGATGAAACCAAAAAAATACCAAAAATTAACACAATATAAAATGCTTCCCTGTTTAAGTCCACTGAATAAAGACACCATTTCGATATTCATCTCAAGAAATAATTCGTCAACAAAAGCTGAATAGGTATAAAAAAGGCATAACGAAAAAATTAAGCAGAAGTAAGTAGTAATAAAATTAATGTCAAGTTTTCATCTTTATTTTTCACATAAGCATTAGTTCTGTGGCACCAGGGAAATGAGATTCTATCTAACAGAATATAAAAACGTCCGTCTTTTTTTAATTAGTGGAAAATTATGTGAGGGGAGGAAAAGAGTGAAAGGTATTTGGCATTTAATTGATAGAAAAAAGTTGAAGATATTGAAAAAATTATTCTGGACAAACAATATGATGACCTTCACAAAAGTTGCTTTTAAAAAATTGAAGCATAAACCACTAATCTAGTCCAGTGGGAAAAAAGTGAATACGCTAGATCAAGTTCCTGTAATAAGTAATAATTGTCTTGGAGAGGGAAGATTAGATAATATCGTAAGGACCGTCCTGGGGTTAGGCTTAGTCGCGACTAAGATATCAACAGATGCATGGAAAATTAAAATGTTATGTTAATATAAACAGGAGTCAAAATCGGTCGTAATATATATATATATATATATCTTGTTTTATGGTCAATTTTAAACTATTTTTCCAATTTAGAATTTACAAGCTAGCAACAAATAAGAAATGTTAGGCTTTTACTAGGTGGTGGTTAGCGAATCACACGATAAGGTTTTACAATGATAAGAAACAACAGTTAGAGATCTACCAATGAAAACACGATAAAAGTTGGAGAAAAATAAAATTTCTATAATCAATACATTTTATAATTCGTTTATCCTTTTTCCTGATACACAACATACCTATACCGATTTAGGAGTGTGAGTTTTTAAAATTTTTTAGGATGGTTTCGATTATAGTTTGCTTTGATTTTAAAGTGATGTGAAGTTTAGCTCTCAAAACACTGATAATAATTATTAGTCGAAAATTAGAAACTTACATCCCGGTGGGACTTGTAGAGGATGTCCAGAAGCATGACAATAACCAACAGGAAATAAATCAAGGGACGACACCTCTATACGTATGTTGTATTTATCAGGCCAACCATCATATCCTAGGGTGAGAAATCCAGGAGGGGTGTTATCTACAACATTGGCAACGCGAACCAATGAAGGGCACCGTTTATCCACAGCCTCTAGACGTTGGTTTATTAGAAACTGTTGGGATGATTTAGCGAATTTGGTTATCTACATTGTAGATAATAAAAATACTATTAAAAAGTAATTATACTCTTGTATAAACATTTTAAAAATAGGGACCAGAAGTACTCATCCTCCCTCTTAGTTCACCACCATAAAAGTCAGATTATTGGAGATTAACATTAATAAAATATATCAAGTAGAATGTTTTGTGTTTTTTGCGTATACGATCTATGTAACAAAAGACAGACTAGTAAAGAAAAAGCTTAGTGAATAAAGTAATCGCTAGATTTTAATTTAACTGATAAATTAACAGTAAACGAACAAATGATGGTTGAATGAGAGAAATTTTGAGGTTATTTTCAGCTCATGACTATTGCATTCCCACTGATCTTGAGACTGAGGAAAGCTAGTAATCCATTGATTTATAGATAAATGTACAGGGATAGATTGGATAATGCTCCTCTGCTGAAGGCTTTATTCCCATATGATGGACTATAAGATACAGAAGAAAACTACTCTTTGGATTCATGGTATTGTTTGTTTCAATTAATAGTATTGAAACTATGAAACTTGATAATCTATCAAATTTCACGCTATTTCCACAGAGTCTTTAACTGATTTAGTACGAGAAAAACCGTGAATCAGACAACGCAAGTAGGAAAACGGTGATAAGGATTTATTTGACTACCAAAATAAATCAAAAGAATACATGAATACACAACTTTTACGATTTATTTAGCCAGATTGTCATTCATATAAGCATAGACTGAACTGAGTAGTATAACACCAATTAATCAATTACCTACTTTGTAAACAATTATTTACAATTAAATACAATTAGACGTCTATAACCAGCAGATATAACCAATGCACAAAGTTATGTGATTACATGTCACAGAAGATTGGAAATCTCACGTGTCATTCGCACTCCAATCGATTTACATACTGCTCACCATATCACTTTATATAACATAAAGGTGATGATACAGATACAAATAGGAATTATTTCCTTTCGTAACACGTATTACGTCATGAAACCCTATTTTTCGTACATGATTATTTTTCTGAAAAACTTCAACGAGACAGTTAGTACAAATATAATATATATTGACAGGACAGGTAAAGTTTACTTTGACGACCCTATAAGACAAACAACACCAAAAAATATACATCGAAAAACATGAAGGAAGCCCCAGTAATAACAGAGAGGTTTCACGATAAATGAGAAATGAAGAGTTCATAGATCGTATAATAACGAAATTCATAACTCACGAAACATGTGGACAAGTATAGAGAATGTTTGATCAGGTGATACAGAAAACCATAAATACGAAAACACGATTATCGGCAATTTAATTTCTGTTGTTTGATCAAATCAGTGCGAAAGGTATTTTTTTGTATCTTTTGGATCTAAGTAATCATGTACGTTTTTCATGATAGATTTAATTATCAAGGTAGTTTGTAAAGACTTATTTCATCCGTAGATTGGGTTTGTCACGAGCTGGTATTGACTAAAAAAGGTTGAACCGGTTATTTATTCTGTCCTTGTTTGAGGCTTTAACTGATTTCAGTTCGTAATGATAACTAATTTGATAACGTGTTAAACAATATCTAGTAAACATCCTATACTAGTACAGAATAATAGATGATATATGTAACTGACTTGATTAGCTTCATTCAACCAACCAATAAAAGCTAGAAACCAAAATACAATACGATCCACGCATTTTTACTTAAACACATGTGTACCAATAATGCATTTTACAGTTAGATTATAATTTTACAATCAGACTAATTAGAATTTTATGAGCATTTAACAAATAAACCAGACCAAGAACCTAAGGATATGAATCAAAAGCGAATTTAGAACTGACCAATATTACCTCATCAAATGCTTCTTTAGGTACAGGCTTTGAATTTGTCTCTTTCAGGTAAAGTTTCCAACTAAAGCCATTACGACGGTTGCTCCAATCTATCAAGAAAATGAAATGTTATAGATAAAAAAAGTTCTATAGTTACTTAGTGCTCCTAAACTGGTAAGACTAAGTTTTTCCTTAGGCTTGGGTTTAAGTTCATGTTTATTATCTGCAGAAATATTTTTGACGCCTGTTTCTACGAAATAAAAAACCAATTAAGGTTATTTGTCATAAAAGAATTATGACCATTAATGCAAAGCCATCTAATGGACACGACATAAACCTCATCGCATTATATATCTAAATAGATTAACAAGAGCTGAAGCATAAATTGAATATGCTTCATGTGTACACTTCTTAACGGCTTTGATCCATGAATATCCCAAAACCAATCGTTTGATATGGTGAAAAACTATTTCTAGGATGTAAATATGTCTACGGAAATGTTTGTCAAACGTAAAACTCTCAGTTCACTATAATGGTTTATGAAATCCGTACTGAAAATAAAATAAATCTAAGTCTTCTTTTAACATTCTCCCCTAAAGTTGATAGGTTCATTAAAATTAGAATTTGATACATGAATACCAGCTTAAATCTCTAATTAGCCTGCACATATAATGAAAAAAGGAAATTACCACACAAAGAATAAAATTTCTACAGAACGGCACTGTGCTGCTATTATTAACCTAACTGTATAAGAATATTCGAATCCACTGACTTCGTTAATTATGGAAAAAATTCAGTATACTGGTAACCACCACTTGGACTGCAGTTGTTCTTATCTGAATTAGACGTATCGATAAAACAAGAACGGGATTTAAAAGTTTGCAGACAGGAACCTATATGGTCTTCAGTGGTTGAGTTTTAGCAACTGACTGTGATTCATAGTGCTCCACTGATTGTATACATAAAAAGTGGTCCAAAAGTTTTTTTTCTTTTCCTATCATCCGCTTCTACTTGGTACTGGGACAAGAACATATCAAAGATGAACATCGGACTCGATTTGTGCAGATGACTGGATTTAAATTTAGGTATGACACAAAAAAGTCATTTTATTTTTTCATGAAATTAGTAAGGCTCTTAGAAATTAGGCCTCACACTCAGGCCTTAGTTGATTGGAGGGTGAGTAAACTATGAATTCATTTCCGCTAATCGCCCATGTCATTTTACCGTGTTTATTTAGTGTTTACATTTTGTATATAAGCATGTTATTTTATTGCATGGTATTCTAGTCACCTAACTAGTACTTTTGTCTTTGGTTTCCAATCATTTGAATCAATAATACGTTCTTGTGAGCATCCATCACTCGACCACATTACATAATTGTATTCATTTGTCGATTAGGATTTCATTCATCGGTTCGGACAATCGAAAATTTTATTCAGTAATCATTAAAAACTGCCTCTATAACAGAAACTTAATTATTGTTAACATGTAAACACGAAGTTTAAGCTTAGTGAACTGTGTACATTTATTAGGATGCAATGGTATAGATCCCAACATTCTACACACATACCAGACACATCGTTTATTCTCGCTAAACGTTTACTAGGTCAGTATATTTACAATTCTTTCGCTTAGCATTCTTACCTACTATTTACAGTTGTATAGACAAAAACTAGTACGTTCCAAGGAATTTGATGATTTTCAAAAGACTCGTAATGTAATTAGGTATTCATTAAATTAAATTTGTCAGTAACAATGAAGTTAAGATATAGTAGTTAGCCGCAGAAACAAATTCAGTCTTATTAGATGATCTGTTCTGTGGTGATTGAATAAAGTTCCGCATGTGTTGGTGGTTATTTAAAATCAACCATGTAAAGCGTTTTAACTTGTTTCCACGTTCACCAAATTAACACTCAAAACTTCAGTCTCTTTAGAGAATCGCCAGATGAACAGCATCAGCGTAGAATCTCAGTATAGAGGTTTGTACAATCTACTCCTAGTAAATGGATCAAGGGTTTCTATCACGAGATTCAAATTGTTAAATGGTATCATCACCTCAACCACTACAGTATGATTTCTAGCTTTATATATGGTATTGTCAAGCATTACATCATCTGTACAGGAGCCGTGAAAGCTCATATTTTGTCACCTGACATAAAATAATGATGTCACAGGTTGAAATCATGAGTCGATTGAAGCTAGACCACCATGGAAAACCTGGAAGCACTAGACGGCCGTTTCGTCCTAGTATGGGACTCCTCAGCAGTGCGCATCAACCAGGTCTGTCGTGAGATAGTAACTCACTGAAGAAAATGGTGTACGGTGGCGCAACTTCGTGGATTGGTTGAAGTTAGACATTAACACCATCGGATGCCGGCTCAGTGGTCTAGTGGTTAAGTGCTCGCGCGCGAAGCCAGTAGGTCCTGGGTTCGAGCCCTGCGTGGTGCGGGAACGTGGGTGCGCACTGCTGAGGAGTCCCGTACTAGGACGAAACGGCCGTCCAGTGCTTCTAAGCTTTCCATGGTGGTCTAGCTTCAATCGACTCATGATTTCAACCTGTGAAATTTCTAAAAACTCTCCAAAAAACCCATTCTGATAATAAAATAATGATATTGAATTGGATAAAATTTAGACATCAAATAGCTCAGTGCCTTGTTTTTTTCAGCTACAAATAAACAATTGAATTTATGTTGCTTTCTTAATAAGTTGATGGTACAAAATAATACATTTACGAATGACAGCCTTATGGTACGGCTATCAAGAATGTTCGTTTCAACTTCTTATATATTGCTGTACTAAGGAGGTTTAGGAGAAAAGATTAAACAGGGACGGTGAAGTGTAGGATTTTCAAAAAAATATAACTTCTAAACTAAGAAATCTGAGTGGTCAGTGGTTCGCAATTTACCTTAGTAACACGGGTCATAGCACAAATTAGGAAGGAACGAATCGAGAGAAGAAATTTGTTTTCAATTAGTTTTTCATTATGGCTCTACGTTTATATATATATATATGTACCGAATATCAAAATGCGAATTTTCACTAAATTTACAAATTAGCAATACATACCACTGGGGATTGATAAAACTTGTTCATGATCCTCGCAATACCCAACAGGACGTAAAAGCTCAGATGATATGTGAGCCCACTGATCAAACCCTGAGTCCCAACCATCAAAATGAATCAATATATAATCACCGATACAGTCTTTTATAGTGGCAACGCAGGCCAAAGAGGGATTCCGTTTATCTATAGCCTCAAGTTTAAGTCCAACAGCAAACATATGCGGTGGAGATGCATCAACAGGCTAAAATATAAGAAAAACTTTAAATCAACAAACTACGTTGATGAAGAACAAGATAAAACTGGAAAATGTGTACTCGCTTGTAATTCAGCAACTGAATTTAGGTACTGTTTATTATCTATTTTGCAGTCAGTAGGTTTTATAAGCAGTTAGTATATGAAGTATTCCAACAGCACTCAGCATAGGGGAAATACACAAAGTGTAATGGATCCCATTGAGAATGTAAAATTAAAGATCATTTGCAACTACATTTACTCATTCAGAAAGTATCGGCTTAATAATAATATATATATATATATACCGATGAACATAAGTAAGATTAAAATATAGTTCATTGTTAGTTGTAGTTACTCAAATTTTTGAGGCCTAACGCAGGTTGGTAAGGCGTTTTCATCTCAACGTCTTCAGAGTACAGTTGCCTTTGATGAAACCAGTGATTATCTTAGATCCAATAAACAAAACCCGTCAATACATTAATTTGGATACGTGACGGTAATGGTGTATTTTAGGACTACCTTAGCAACAATATGTATAGCCAGCTTTTCACACCTTTAGCATCGGTGCAAATGAGGCTAACGCATTCAGGTAATACCATACTAATAGCTTTGTGGTTTAAAACACGTAAGCCAGACCAAGAAAATTGTATACTAACTACTAAATTTAAGACACGTTACAACTATGAATTTTTGTGTGGTAATATTTTAAATGATCACACTGGAGGGCAAAGAAGCCCTAAGGCCATATGCCAGCTATTTAGAATTACTAGGTATATTACGAACGAGAAAGCATTTACTTGAATTTCAGGTAACAAGATTCATTTATTATTTAAATGACACAATTGGATTCGGTATGTAAAATGGGATGTTTAAGTGAATAAATATTAATTGATTTTTGACTAATGTTTCACCTTTGATGAATCATTTTAACTGACAATTAACCTATAATCACGGCTAAATATTTTTTTGCATACGAATGATAATTTTAATTTTTCAAAATGTACTTATAGGTAAACGCAAAGTTGTTTCATTTTTTCAAATTAAACAAGCTCGGGTCTGGAGGTCATTACAATGAGTGAATTACTGGTTTATCTCAGTTGTTTAGGTACTCAATTAAATCGCTTGATTTGTCAGAAAAAAAACTCCTATTAGATTTATTCATTCATTAGGTACTTAGGTATGAACCATACTAAGTAGGAGGAACGGAGTTCAGACATGGAACTTAGTAGTCGTGGACCAAACACCCTAACCACCAAGCCACCGTTTCAGTAGACACTATGTTATTTTAAGAGCTGTCATATCATAACAGTTACCGGATCTACGTAGTCTCTCTATGTAAGAAAACAATGAGTGGGGAAATAACTACAATACCCAGTCAGTCAAACATGAGCAACATACATATGCACATCGGTTCAAGTTCTTAGACCATATTAGTACAATAAAAGGAAGCTATCACGACGAATCCTAGAGTAGTAAGAGTAGTAATGGTATCAGCGAAAGTAGAAAACATCAGAGATAGATAATATAATTCGATTAAAAAGGAATGGATTCGCGTAATAAAAAAGTGTAAAATAATTTTGAAATTCGAGATGTGAGAGGAGACAAAAATTGAATGCACCTGAGCAAGTGCGACTGATTCTAAGCTATGCCGCCCAGGATGTAACTTCAGGATTAATGTAATCGACATTTAATCACTGAGTCAAAGGACTGAATCCCGATAAATCTTCCGTTTGAACGATCGGACTTCCACACAAGTGACGCTGTAAGTCGAGAGCATAAACCTGTTTTTGGTAAGGTACGTCTTACTCAAATTTATGGTGTAAACAACAAAACCGAACAAACTGGTTTCAAAAATTCATGTTTATGGTAGCATAACTTTGACATCACAGCTTACAGAATCCCATGGTACTTTAAATGAATGGCGAGGAACTGGTTTGGCTCCAAGTTTAGCCAAAAAGCTTGTCCAATTAAATGGATGATAAGATTCTTCGAGATATTCCTTGGGGGGTTGAAGTTGACGGTTGTTATGTGCACACCATCCAACAGGAAACAAAAAAGGAGAGTCTATTGTCGTCCAGAAGTCATACTTCTCCGGGTAACTAGCAAAATGAAGCTTGACACGCCGTCCTATCAATTCAGAAACGCAGAGAACACAAATTAAGCTTTCATTATGAGGATCAATACCCTCTAAATACTGACCAGGCTTGAAATTTCCCTCAGGGGCTACATTTTGTCCAGGAAGAATTGATGGTGATGGGACCTTGTTAAAAAGTAATAAGAATGAGTGAAAACATGAAACACACATACGAAATCGGTTAATAATCAGTAATATTTTATTAACTGGACTGAATGATTAGGACTAGATGTTGATAAACAAGTGGTGATCTTAATCCAATTTAAGTATACCTAAAGAAGTGAATAAACAGATTAGTGACTGGATGGAAATGCAACCTGAACCCTACATTCTACTAACTCACTCTTAATGGTTTTATGGAACTGATACATATAGAACAAAGATAATAAGACAATAATAATCACCAACAAGAATGGTTGGTCAAATTAACATGTCGCAGAAAAGAAACAATAATTCAAGATTACTATACTTCTAAATAGCACAAGATTTTTCGGTTCCAGGAACCTACGAAAAGGTCTTTCTACAATACTCTAAACATGTAAAGGAGTAACTGGATTTGTTTAAGGAATCGAGACGACGTTAATGACTACAATACAGTTACATGGTTGAGGCATGAATGATAACTAGCCCTGATGCGTCCACACGTACGATACTCATTTTCCAACTCAGTATAATTCACCGTTGTCTCATCCAATCAACAATTAAGACTATATATATATATATATGTATATATATATATATATATATATATATATATATATATATATATATATATGTATATATACTAGTGGAGAGTCGGTACATATAAATAATTGAGGTTATCAGCAAAACGACTATGTGAACCGTAGACATGAACTTGAAGGATCTCTTTTACAAACCACTAATCAAACGCATGTAGATGCTCTTGAAATAGTTTACATAAACTTTCAACATTAGTATATGCAATCGATAAATGACATACCTGAACTTCAAACGGAACATGAAAAAAGAGAGAAGACTGAACAGGATCTGCATCAATTTCTCTAAGATAATGTGCCCAATCGAAAGGCCCGGGTTCTGGAAAAACAACAATGTAAAGATTGAAATGATTTAGTTGCTAACAGACCTGAAAAACTATCTAAACCATAAAGTACCTAGGAAAAATGAAGCAACAGCATATTCTACAAGCAAGTTATTAAAACGTCAGAATACCACCGTGAAGTAAGTACTGAACAATATTTGATCCGAATTTTAGACGATGCATTAGTTCTTGTAAGTTAGAATTTCTTCTCAAGTCACTCTAAAACAACTACATAGGGACTTAACACCTAATCAAGATGAAGACCGATTATAGCGAGAAATTTTGTCTAACAGTTAATAACTAACTTAAAAGTTATCTCGTATGTCAATCAGAATTTTTGAATAACATAAGGAAGTAGCACGTGAAAACTTCCAGATATCTAACCAAAAGGTGAACTACATGAAAATGAATCCCATGTTGACAATAAGAAAAGTGTGACAACTGTTAACCCTTTATATTATGTAAATTTCTTACTTAACAGAAAACAAACAATCTCAATAAGTTAAATTTAATTGTTTTAATATAACTTAACAATGCTTCGGAAAAATAGGCGGTGGGACACTTTATAGCCCCTCAATTTACTACCATAATCTGTAAAATCACTGCAAGTTATCGAAACCCCGTTAAATTTCGCCTTACGCATCAGGAAATAAAAGTGACAATAATCCACACATTTCAATCATAAAAACGTAACTACTGATAACTATGCAGTCTGTTTTAACACTCGACACTATTGCTTTAAATGTCAGCTACAAAGAAACCACGGTTCAGTTTGATTTTGGAATCACAACAGTCAGATGAGTCTAAGGAAATGCCCTTCGAAAACACGAGTAGTCGGTCAGTCACAAGCTACGTAGAACCTGATACATATATGCATTGGCTGAAGTCACCACTAGCATAGTGAGATACGTGATCAAGATAAATCCAAGAAAAGCAGAATTGGTAAAAGCACTGATTGTTGTACAAAACATTAGGCACGGAGAAAGAAAACTAGAAGTATCGGCACATTTTGGGACTCCGGATTTAAATAAAGACAAAGACAGAATGCACCTCATCCATCTCATTAACCATTGGTCATGATTATTAACCAGATACCAACTGGGTAATCTGCACCTTCGTACACAATTTAGAAAAAGTCAGAAACTTAGTGAACTGATGACACGTCGTGGTTTGCCTTCCCCTACCTTTCTTCTAGTCTCCTACACCACAAAACGTCGAGCGTCGGTGTGGGCGGTGGCTAGGCAAATGCAACATATGTCCCAACCAGCTTGCTATTATTACTTAGTGCTCTGCATCTAACCTCAGCATTACTCATTCAATGGTCCCAATATAAACAAGCAGTGTTTCGAGGACACCTATGGTCAAATACTTGTTATCTACGACTATTCTTTGGTTTCAAAGGTCATGTCTCACAGTCATAAGGTAGGACCAAGTGAACTGATGTCAGTATACTCGTTTTTTGGTTTGCAAACGGATATCTCGCCTACGCCACAAATGATCCAAGCTGGCAAAGGTTAATCGGGTTTCTTGAATTCGTGCCATGATCTCGCCAAACTTCAACCCACTAGAGCTGGTGAGACCTTCAAAATAGGTGAAATGGTCGGTCCGCTCAGCTACTTTACTTCATATAACTAATTCAGGGGCCGAAGCAGACCAGTTCTGAAGCAATATTTTTCATTTATATGCAGAAAAATATACGCACCTTAATATGTAAGAGTTGACATAGAAATTAAAAGCACAAAACCAATTTGGTTGCCACTTGATAAATCCTAGCCATCAGCACAGGCTTTGAACATAAAAACGGACATTTTGCAAGTGATAATACGAGAGAAAATGATCGGAATCAAGATGGCCGATTTCTATTAGGAGCGATTGGTTTATTGCTAATCGTATCCAAGCTGTTGTAATTGTTTAGTTCCTAATGATAATTTGAAAGTGATCTTGAAATCTATAGAATATAAGTTATCAGCCAATCACAAACTAGCTTGTAGACATTTTTTAAGAAACCTGAAAAATATACTAATGAGGAGAAGTACGAATGTGCAGTATTAGAATGTCATATCTTTACACGCAAAAAAGTTGAATTGTCCAAGAAATGTCCTCAGGCTGTGGAAAAACTTTGACATAACAGTATAAAAGAACTCGTTCTGACTTTAATCACTAATGTAGCAGCTAATTTCGCTGTTTCCCTCACGACTTTCATCATCTAACCACGAAACAACAAATTTACTAACAAACGTAGGATCCAGACAATGGGATGTATAACACTGAATGAGAAAACCAGAAAAAACTACTGCGTATCACCTGACACTATTTCATAGAATCTTTGAAGTGGCAACATCTAATTATTTTCAATACAGTGAAAAGACGCCCAAGAACACGTTACCTGTCCAATAAATACGTAAAGTGGGCTCCTGTTTTTAGTTGTGGATATAGATAGGAGGGCTGGTAATTAAATTATACTTAGACGCCTACTATATTAAATCAATCCGAACTTGGTAGGGTGTCTATGTTTAGCTACTACGCACTAACGTTGAAACTACTATTATTTAGACTCTTGATGTTAGTTTCATCTTGCTGTGTCGAGGCGGTATGGCAACCGATGGAAACGCACAGTTGTGCCATGCCCCGTATTGATTTTGGTTGACTAAATCGGTACATGACTGTTAACCCGCAACAATCCACTACTGTCTACTATAAATATTTTACAATTCTTTGGCGGTAATTATCCCCTATTCTTGTAATTATATTGTGGAGGCAAGATCTTAAAGATCGAAGGATATGGAGAAGATGAAACAGGAAGTGACGAGGCAGCTGACGGGTAAACTACAATTGTGTGACCAACAAATGCATTAAAGCTCTGTTTGTGGTTATATCTACTTGATTGCCAGATACCTGATGATCTTGAAAATAACAACAAACATATATTATAAACACAACTTATTAGAAGTGCTCCAAACTAAGGGTTTGAAAGAACGTGATAACCAAAAGTTTATAAGAAACTGATTATAATAACTAACAAGATATCTGTAAGTGAAATTAGTAATGTAATCATGCCTAGAGTACCCACAAAGTTATTTGACGGGTAAGCCACTGTATGTGGGAGAATATATTTTGATAAATCAACCTCATCAAAAGTGTGTGAGTTTAACGCGCGCTATATAAAAAGGACGAGAACCGGTGCTTTCAACGTGGTATGGTCGCCGCCAACTCCGCCTGGAGTCCCTCCGAGGGCTACTGCCGGTCCCAAGCCCGGATAAAGGAGGAGGGTTGGGCATGGGGTTAGCGTCCCCATCCCGTAGAAAACTAACTCGCTAAAAAAACTCTAACCAGAAAAAATTATTCAAAGCTTTTAAACTCTGCCCTGGGAGTCAGAAGATCTTCATTTAGAAGAATTATGACGCCTCATGATGAAAGCCGAATCCCTTCGGAAGTTACGAGGCCGATGCCCCATCTGAAAACCAGAGCAACCATTTATTTAGGTACATGGAATGTTCGTACAATGTGGGACACCGGAAGAGCCTTCCAGATTGCTGCAGAAATGAGAAGATACAACCTAGAGGTACTTGGGATCAGTGAAACACATTGGACACAAGTTGGACAACAACGACTAACTACAGGAGAGCTCCTGTTATACTCCGGCCATGAAGAAGAAAATGCACCACATACACAAGGAGTTGCATTGATGCTGTCCAAACAAGCACAAAATGCGCTTATAGGATGGGAATCTCATGGACCAGGGATCATCAAAGCCTCGTTTAAAACAAAGAAAGAGGGCATTTCAATGAACATCATCCAATGCTATGCGCCTACCAACGACTACAATGAAGACGCTAAAGATCAATTCTACGATAGGCTGCAGTCAATCATCGAGAAGTGCCCAACAAAGGACCTGACCATTCTGATGGGAGATTTCAACGCCAAGGTTGGAACGGACAACACTGGATATGAAGACATCATGGGACGGCACGGACTGGGAGAAAGGAACGAAAATGGTGAGAGATTTGAAAACCTATGTGCCTTCAATAAGCTGGTCATAGGCGGCACCATATTCCCACATAAACGAATACACAAAACCACATGGACTTCACCGGATCACTCTACACAAAACCAAATCGACCATATTTGCATCAACAAAACGTTCAGGAGGACTATGGAGGACGTGAGAACCAAGAGAGGAGCTGATATAGCATCAGATCATCACTTACTGGTCGCCAAGATGAAATTGAAACTCAAGAAGCACTGGACAACGGGGCAGACAGTATCACAAAAGTTCAATACGGCCTTTCTCCAGGATACTAACAAACTCAACAAATTCAAGATAATCCTCAGCAATAAGTTCCAGGCCTTTCATGATTTACTCAATGGAGAAGGAACTACTATGGAGAGCAACTGGAAGAGGATCAAACAAGAGATCACTTCAACATGCCATGAGGTTCTGGGCCACAAGAAGCATCATCACAAGGAATGGATCACTGTTGGTACACTGGATAAGATTCTAGAAAGGAGGAACAAGAAGGCAGCGATCAATACCAGCCGAACAAGAGCAGAAAAAGCCAAGGCACAAGCTGAATACACGGAAATAAACAAACAAGTGAAGAGGAGCATCAGAACCGACAAACGTAAATATGTGGAAGATTTAGCAACGACGGCGGGAAAGGCTGCAAGAGAAGGAAACATGAGACAATTGTATGACACGACAAAGAAACTCTCTGGAAATCGCCGCAAACCAGAACGACCAGTGAAAAGCAAGGAAGGCAAGGTAATCACCAACATTGAAGAGCAACAAAACAGGTGGGTAGAACACTTCAAAGAACTGTTGAATCGACCAGCTCCACTGAACCCACCCAACATCGAAGCAGCACCCACGGACCTCCCAATCAATGTTGGCCCACCAACAATTGAAGAAATCAGCATGGCTATCAGACAAATCAAGAGTGGCAAAGCAGCAGGACCGGACAACATCCCAGCAGAGGCACTAAAAGCAGACGTAGCG